CCCACCCCTGACAGTGACAAGTGAGTGCTGGTCATCTGGTCCCCTAGGGGCAGGACCCCTCCCCATCCTGCTCACTGCGTTCCTTCGCTCCCCAGAATAGCTGACACTGGCTGTGCACTGAGGGCGTTGTGCCCAGACCCCAGCACAGAGCGTGCCTGGGCCCAGCCTTTCCTGAACAAGAGTGAACTGCAGGTTAGGGACAAGGGGCTGATGGGAGAAGAATCCACCCATCGAAGGGATGGGGAGGCAGAATGGAGTCTGGTGTTCTCTTGGCCTGATCTCCAAGGACCGGGGAGTCAGTTCGTCCAGGATTCAGGACTGTGCTCCGTCTGGGGGTGCATTCTGGATGCCAGCGTGTGATCTCACTGTCTCCTGGCGTGGCTTTTCCTTGCCTTTGCAATCCAGGCCACCTGCATTCCTGGGAAGACTCCCAGCTCATCTTCCCTGCTTGTCCCTTGTCTCTGTGTGGTCTCATAGCAACATGGCAACTGACAGGGCAGCCAAATGATCACTCCATAAAGTCAGCCACGGTAACTCCTCCTCACCAGGGCCTGCCCCACTGAAGCTCCTCCCCACCAGGGCCTGACCCACTAACGCACCTGTGCCAGCGACAGCTGGACGTCCACTCCAAGCGTCCTCTTCTCGCTGCAAAGACACGAGGGCTCACTGCTCAGCAATGGGCTTGCTGTAGAAATGACTTCACAGCAGTGAGTGTGCTTCGCTTGTCTGAGCAGTACCTAGGATATTTAAAATCAGAAGAAAGTTAACTATTGTTACAATGTTACTGAGTCTGATAGAGAAGATGCTATTATCATAATAAAGTAGGGGGGAAGTTGGTGGAAATATTACATAAATGAGATAGTAGATATTATTAGGAAATAACCACATCCAAATAGGAGGAGAAAGTTGGTGGAAAAATGGAATTAAAGAGAATGGTGTTTTCCATGAATGTTTTGGAGTCCCATTTTAATCAGAACAGGCACTTGGAGTGAGCACTATAATGACATGGCCAAGCTGATGCAGAGCCGTTGTGTGTCCAGAAGGCTACTATCAGGCTCTGTGGGCAGTGTCTGGGCAGACCTTGGGGCTCTTAAAGCTCTTACAACAATCCATAATCAATTGTATCGAACACATGCTGCCATCATCATTTTCAAAACATTTTATTTCTGCTTGCACCCTGGCTGTTTGTTTCCCAAGTGAGATCCATCGTGATGCACTCTTCCTACTGACTCAGAGTACAGTGGTGAGCATCAGAATACCCCGTCTCACCCCAGAGTGAAGTTCCTGCAGTGACCTGGACAGGTCAGCCCCATTCATGTCCCTGAGCTGTGGGCTGAGATGGCCCGCCTCCCTCTGACTCCCTCCGCCTCCCCAGCCTGTGCGCTGTGCACCGGCCCTGCTGTTCACCAAGTCTGTGTCCCGGGGGCCAGTAGCCGAAAAGAAAGGGGAGAGCCCCTGGCACAAAGTCTTCACAAACACTGGCGCTTCTCTGGGAGACATGACGAGAAGGACACCACAGCCCCACGCTGGCCTGTGGCTAGTGGGTTTCACAATTCGTGGCAGCAGACCAAAGGGTACCTCTGTGCTCAGTGTACGGTAAAACGTGCAAACCCCAGCAGAGCCTGTGAGACCAGGGCCTGGCAGAGAGCCCCTGGACGCTTAGATCTTTGCTCTCGTAAAGAGCGCTTGAAAAGCGCTAAGACTTTGGGGTCCCCATCACAGGTGGAACACCTGGGGCACCTGCTAACCAAGCCTCTTGCAGCTCTTGTGAGTGCACTGCACTTGGAGTTGCATGTACGTACCTTTATCATGCTTTGGAATCATATTGGACTTCACATCACCATGGTAACAGATACAGAGTGCAGCAGGAAATGCATCAGTAACACTTAAAGAGTTCCCAGCAAAGTTCTTGATGTTCTTTTGAAGTGTTTCTGGCTGTTAGCATATACAAAGTCTCAGGTTGTTCACCATCCTCGTGGTTAAATGCAAACTCATTGCTGTTGAGATAATTCCAATCCATAGTGGTCCTGTAGGAAAGGGTCTTGGTTTCATGGAAGACCCCACTTACTTAGCCTAATACAAGCTTCGTGCTTCTCCCCCTCCTGGATTGGTGTCTTACAGTGTGCCAGTAGCCATCCAAGGCTTCGCCGTTGGCTTCTAGTTACGGGGGTCCACAGAGCGAGGCGAACAGTCAGGGTTATGAAAGGCGTGGCTAATGCCTCAGTAACAGCTGCCTCTCTGCCGGGAGAACCAGAGGAACAGTGCCTGGCGGCCAGTTCTGAACGTTTCCGTTCTAAAATCTTGATCCAAAGGTAGCGGAGGGGATGCGGGACCGTATTTGACTCCAGAATAACTGGAGCTGTAAAGATTGGACAAACTCCACAAAGTGTTGCCCTGAGATGGTCTTCAAACCTCAAGCCAAAAGCATCCCTTGAAGTCTTGCATGGAGCAGTAGGTTAGTGGGATTGCCTGGAGCACAGTGAAGGGGCCCAGTGTCGCGGGTGCCTGTTGTACTGCTCCCCGTAGGCCGGCAGTGTGACACCTGTGCCATAGGGCTGCCACTAGTCGGCATCCACTCAGTGGTAGTGTGTGGGGTCAAAGCGACATGCGCAACATGCCGTGAGAGGACTTTGAGAAGGAAGTGGTTTTTTGTTACTGGAGGACCAGCCCAGGAGCGGAGGCAAGGGCATCGTGTCATTCGATTGTTGTCTTTACTGAATGCTCCATATCGAGATGACTGAGTCTGGTGTGTGCTTTGTTGTGTGTACTCTCAACAACAGAATGGGATTCTATTTTAGAGCATTCTCATAGAGAACCTAAATCCATGTAGACAACCCGTTTTCGTGGAGACCGTGATAGGTTACCTCAACTTGGTGTTGAGTGCTCCAACAGGACCTCTCCTCGTTTTCTGACACCCCCCACCCCACCCCTGCTTCTCGACGTGTGCATGTCCCACTCTCAGAAGAGGCGTGGGAAGGGGGGTGGATGCCCTGGGGCCAATGGAGAGACCCTTTGTTTGTTACTGTTGCTAGCTGCCTTCCAGGTGGTTCTGACCCATCGTGACCCTTAGCACCACTGGACAAAACACTGCCCTGCATCATCCACTAGTGTCATTGAAGCAGCACTTTTTTTCCCTTTAAAAAAAAAAAAAATTAAATCATTTTATTGGGGGCTTGTACAACTCATCACAATCCACACATACATCTGTTGTGTGTGGATGTACTTTTGTACATTTGTTTCCTTCATCCTTCTCAAAACATTTGCTTTCTACTTGAGCCCTGGGTATCAGTTTCTCATTTTCCCCCTCCCTCCCCGCTCTACCCTCCCCCATGAACCCTTGATAATTTATAAATTATTTATTTTGTCATATCTTACACCGTCCAGCGTCTCCCTTCACCCACTTCTCCACTGTCCGTGGAAGAGGTTATACGTAGATCCTTGTAATCCTTCCCTCCACCCTCCCAGTATCGCCACTCTCACCACTGGTCCTGAGGGGTTCATCTGTCCTGGATTCCCTGTGTTTCCAGTTCCCACCTGTACCAGTGTACATCCTCCGGTCCAGCCGGATTCATAAGGTAGAATTGGGATCATGATAGTGGGTGGGGAGGAAGCATTCAAGAACTAGAGGAAAATTGTATGTTTCATCATTGCTACACTGCACTCTGACTAGCTTATCTCCTCCCCACGGCCCTTCGGCAAGGGGATGTCCACGCCTACAGATGGGCCCTGGGTCCCCACTCCACATTCCCCCTCACTTCACAGTGATATGATTTTTTTGGTCTTTGATACCTGATACCTGATCCCTTCGGTGCTTTGTGATCGCACAGACTGGTGTGCTTCTTCTATGTGGGCTTTGTTGTTTCTCAATTAGATGGCCGCTTGTTTATCTTCAAGCCTATAGGACCCGGGACTCTGTATCTTTTGGTAGCCAGGCACCATCAGCTTTCTCCACCACATTGTAAAGCAACACTTTAAAACCATTCCCTCTCCCTGACTGTACCATCTGCCTTCCAGCTGAGTCCCACTGGTGGTGCCCCTGGAGGGGGCCAAGCCTCCCCATGGGGCTTCCAGGGCTCGGAAGGAAGCGAACTGGTCGCTCCTTCCTCTTGCTGGCGCATCCCGACTGCCAACTGTCGGTCCCTGGGGGCTAGCAGCCCAGTGGTTGGACCCTCTGCTGACGGATCCTGAGTTTGCCCAAAGTAAACTTAAATTCACTTCATCCTCCCTTGTCTTAGGGGCTCCTCGACGTCAGTTCAGCAGATACCACCGACGCCAGCAGCCTTATCTTTCCCCTGGGACTAGCAGCCCTGTGCCTAACCCACAGCGCCATAGGACTCCTGGTAGACCCCCAGAACAGCTTCAGACGTTAGACAGTTTTAAAGTTTTTGCAATACCAACTTAGTAAAATCTCACCTGACATTTTAACTCCCTTTTTATGTGAGGACAACGACAATGAAAACAAACGTCAGAGCTGTTCGTGTTGTGGGGGTTGGAGAGGGGACTTTACTGCTCGGTTTGCTGGCTTGCTTGCAGAAGCAGCCACAAGTTGTTCTGTGGTTTCTGTCTATAAAGTTGCCGCCCTGGTCTCTTTTGGTTTTCCTTCCAAAAATGACATATGGTGGCTGCTTCCTGTGACCTCCTCTCTGAAGAGAAGGCCCTTGTTTCCTTGACGTCACAGTTGGCGGCATTATCGGGACTCACCGTGCAGCGCTGCCCGCTGCTCCTGCCCGCATGGGGGGCGGCCAGGCCCAGGCCCACAGGGGCCTGGACTGCTGCGTTGCATATTCATGAGTAAAGTGCTTAGCCTATTTATGAATGGAGGGCTTTGGTGGTTTCCAGTCCCTGTTTTATTTTGGAAACATAAAGTCTGTGTGTGTGTGTGTGTGTGTGTGTGTGTGTGTGTGTGTGTGTAAAGTAGGCTTATACTATATGGGCATGTTGTCTATTTAAGAGAAATCACTGTTGTGTACTGAAAAAAACACATGATTTTGTTTCCACAGAAACCTGCTAATATTTTAGTTATGGGTGAAGGTCCCGAGCGAGGAAGAGTAAAAATTGGTATGTTATATCTTTGATAAGTAATGGCATAGCCCTGGTCTAAAACATCTGCAAGCAGCTGTCTTCCTTCCACCTATTGCAGTCCTTGCCTGTACACGTGCATACAGGTCTGCTCGAGGAAAGCCATTTCTAAGGGTTTGCATGAAATGGAGAATAGCCCCGAGTGGCCTGACGACAAGAGACGTCCCAAGTTTCTCAGGAACCTCTACCTCCGTGAGAGCCAGCGTGGCGGCCGTGCTTTCTGCCTCCCCGCTAATCAGTCTCCCAGGCGCACAGTGTCCCGATTTGCATGCCACCCACCTTGGGCCTGCACAGGGAGCTGCACTGGCCTGTCCAGATCCCAAGCCCTCACTCCTGGGGTGGCCTTCACTCAGGAGAGCCCCCCAGGAACAGGCCTTGTGTGCGGGCCGCTCTCAAAGCAGAGCTCTCCCTCCCCCTGGTCTCAGAGTCTGGGCCGTTTCTAACCTGCCCTCCATCATTCCCATGGCGGCTGTCTCTCCTGCATCTAGTTGGTTTGGTGTGTGGGCTGAAGACACGGGTGACTAAATTGCCACACACGTGAAGAGGCAGCAGAGCTGGGGGTGGGGTGGGGGGTGGTGACAGTTTGACTGTGGTTTCTGGGAGCCAGACTGAATTTGAACACGAGGTGCCCGCTGCTGTGCATGTACAGCGCACCAGCCCTTCCTGAGCGTCCCTTTTTAAGCCCCCAAATCCCACTTCTAGTTAGATGCTGGAATTTTTATTTTATCATATAAACCCTACTCATTTTTGAGCTGTGGGAGCCTTCGAGACACTGCCAAGGTCTCCCTGCAGTGGTCCCTGTGGTGCCACCAAGTTCAAGTAGAAGCTCAAAGTAGGCAAAATCGAAGATGGCATGTCATGCAGCAGTGACCACACTGGGACGTTTTCTACAAGAAAATGCTCCCATTTAGAAGCTTCTGTGCAAGATGCCGATGGCGGCAGGCTGAGGAGACACTAGCCGGAATGCTTCTCTCCAAACCAGTGTTCTGGACTCTGACTCACCGTTTTAACTCTTCACCCAATATCTGTGGTTTTGTGGGCTGGTTTCTGGTTTGTTTGATACCTCCATAGTTGAGGTTGACTATGTTACAATGTAAATTTATCCAGAGACCGGTGAGTCTGGAAACGTTTGGTTAGTAGTGGTTCCTTGGTCAGCGTTTTTTGGCAGAGGCTGAGTAAGCGTCCTAACCCTGGGCTGGTGCTCTTGGGACGGGGAGTGATTGACAGTCTTCCCTGTCACACCCCCGCTTGGTGGGAGCCTGGCGTCCACCCAGCTCCAGCTCCAGCCCCCAGCGGAAGTTTGTGACCTTGCTCCAATTCCGCAGCTACTTCTGACCCTGTCTGCCCATGCAAAAACAGTAGATGGCCTCCAAAGTCTCCTGGTTCAGAAGACAAATTCTCTAAAATCAGATTTCTGAAATTCACCTCAACTAAGTGGGGAGGTGGTGGTCTGGCTCTGTAGGCTCCAGGATGCAAAGAAATGAAAGTCACAGATAAACTGCCCCAGGTCTCAGGGCAGTGGCCAGTCCAAAGGTCAGGCATGTGGCTTCCCCACCCTGTTCACCTGCAGGTGGCGGGCCTGGGGAGGGAAGCAGGGCTGCTCAGGGACCACCTGGTCGGAAGAGCAGCACACAGGCTGGTTGTCCAGTGGGGCCTTTGGTGAGCGAGGCCCTCTGTTTAACTTAGAGGTCAGCACCGCCCTACATGGTACAGAGGGGTTACAGAGGGGGCGTAGACGGCCGGGTGACGTGTGAAAACTCAGTTACTTAACGTGCCTCCTTTCATTTCGCAGCCGATATGGGCTTTGCCCGCCTATTTAATTCACCTCTGAAGCCTTTAGCAGATTTGGACCCCGTGGTCGTCACATTCTGGTACAGAGCCCCCGAGCTCCTGCTGGGAGCACGGCATTACACCAAAGCTATTGGTGAGTACAGCGACAGCTCCCCCAGCGGTTGCCGAAAGGATGTGCCGCAATGCTGTGTGTGTTGATAGGTCTTCAAATTGAGTCGTACAGGAAATTTAGAAAGTTCGTGAAAAAAACTAACCCCATGTCGCAGCTTGAGAATACCATCCTGATCGTTCAAACACTCAACAAACTAGACTGCTGCTGTGTCCATTCGGACGCATAGTGACAGGATGGACAGAGAAGAACTGGCCTCACCCGGTTTCTGAGGCTCGAAATCGTCATGGAAGCAGACAGCCTCATCTTTTCCCACAGATCGCTGGTGTGTTCACACCCAGCCAACACTTCATCCACGGTGCCACCAGGGCACCTTCCAGGTCCGTGTGTTGCAGTCAGTTCTGACTCAGTGACCCTGTGGGAGAGAGGGGAGCTGCCCTGTGGGTCTCCACGACTTTAGATTCTTTCCAGGAGCTGACAGCTGACTGCCTCACCTCCTTCCAGAGGAGGGACTGGGGGGGGAGCTGTTGACAGTGGCCGCTCATTGAGTAGCCACTACTCCAGCAGGGCTTCCCCATTCCCACCTCCCTCTTTCTACAGAGAAAATAGATGACGTCAACAAGACCATTTTTAATGAGTATTTTTCTCTTAAAATGAAGTTTTAAATTTAACTTTACAGCAAAAAGAAATAAAATTGGTAGCATTTGAAATTATTCAACTTTCAACAAAATGTTTCTACTCCTAAAGATAAGGAAAAATACCAAAAACCAGGAGTTTAGGAACTCTTCATTGACTTTGAAAGTTTTGATATCTCCTTATTGTCAAGAATTAAGAAAGCGTGCTGTCAATAGACGGGCTTTAAAGCGATCGTGGGAAGCTTCCATGATCTTTGGGCTCCTTTTTCCTCGAGCTGTTTGAAGCCCCTGTGCACAGCCTCTCAGGTGCTAGGTCAGCGTTGTCATTAACTGGAGCGTCCGGCCTGGGTTTCTGTGCGCAGGCAGGCACACGTGGTGCACTCGCCCGCCGGCGTGTGCTGCACGCCGTCCAGGGCATGGCTGCTGCAGGCTGACGTCTTCATGCTGCCCATCATCTTTTGGGAAAGGCTCTCGCCACCCTTCCATCTCCTTCCTTTCACTATGTCTGTGTGCGGAGCTCTCATCTCTCCTCGGTTACTCCGCATGGCGACTTCCAGTCTCTCTGCTTGGCCAGCCCCAAGCCCCCCTCGCTGCTCTCCGCTCCTCTCTCCATTCCTGTGTGTCGTATCTGCTGCTGTTGGGCCTCATGAGCCCATCGCTTAGTTTGCCAGAACATATTGGGACATAGGAAAGGAAAGCTACCCTTGAAGCCCACTCTCCCATCTCCATGTTTCTGAAATTTGTTTGAACTGAACTGAAATTCAGTTGCCTAGTTTGGAATGTCCAGGCACAAAACAGTTTTCGGGCAGCTGTTCCATGATATTCCGTTGTCTGCTAGCATTGGTGTGGCTGAAGAGGCAGATGTTTCGTGTATGTGTGTGTGAGAGAGAGAGGAGAGAGAATATTGGGGTAAGATTTACAGAGCAGGCCAGTTCACTAGTCAAGAATCTGCACACCTTTTGTCTCATCGCCTTCTCTTCAGTCCCCTCTTCCTCCTCCTGTCCTAACCCAACCTTGCCCTTGAGCAGGTGTACCTGCGTGGTCTCCGTGGTTGACAGTTTCCAGGTGTGCAGACTCCCTGGTCTGTTGTTCCCCTCATAGACCTGTCTGTGTTGGACCCATGGGGTGAGTTCAGTTCCAGGCCTGAAGGTGACCAAGGGCTTCCCCCAGTCTCTGACCTGTGGGCCCATTTTCTTCCTCTCTCTCCAATCTTACTCTCGTTTCCTGGCAGGCTCACTCACTGCCGTTGGTCCCTCTCCTGAGACGGACAAGATGCTTCATCGCTCGGAGTCAGGCTGCCAGGCTGGCCACGCTGTTCTCTCTGTGCGTGGCGTATTTGGTGTGAGGCTGACATTGCGTCTGTGGAAACATCCAGTGCTGGCCTCCCAGGCCAGATCCTTCTGGACCACTCTTTCTGTTGTGGTCTGGTTTAGTCTCAAGAACACGGTGCTCCCACGACAACCCATGCATGGAAGCTCTGCTGTGTCCCGCAGGCTCCCCAGGAGTTGGGGCTGGCCCGCCGGCAGTGGGTGCCTAACCAGTTAGCTGGGTCTTCTTTATAGTCAGCCTTCTTGTTTGTCTGGCCGGCTCTCACTTTTCCCCAGACTGGGGGTACAGGAACTGTTGGGCTCTTGATGTTTGGGAGGGAGGTTACTGTGGGCAGCCTACTCGGGGCTCTGCACACAGACCACTCCTGGGCCCTAAGTGCCAGAATGCCCAGCTGGGTGCAGCTGTGTAGTTCTCAGGGGACGAAGTCTCTGAGGAAGAGCCCTCCCTGAATTTGCCCTTGGATATACCTGGCCATGCCGGGAAATGGCCGGCGGGGAGGAGCAGCAGATGTTTCTTCCCAGCGAGCTACAAGACTAAGGTGACCATACGTCCTGCTTTTGGCGGGACAGTCCCGATTTTTGGAAAGAATGCACAACAAGCTAGGGCATACGGTTTTCGGCTGCCATGTGGCTATTTCACCAGGATATGAGTTTTATCAGTGGTGTCCGCTTTACCAGTGTTAAAATCTGGTCACCTTACACAAGACACATCTGCCTCCCGCTGTGGGCCGGGCCCTCTCAGGCACCTTGGCCTGCCTTCCATCTTCCGGAAATTCTTACACCCTGCCTTCCACCCACGGCCCGAGTCCAAGTACATCCTCTCCCAGAACTCCTCTCCCTAAAGCTGCACCTTGGCAGCTGCTCACCACAAGGGCAGCTGTTTGAAACCCCTAGCTGCTCCAAGGGAGAAAGACGAGGCTGTCTGCTCCTGTGAAGAGTTACAGTCTCAGAACCCCACAGGGCAGTTCTACCGTGAGTCGGCATCAGCTGGATGACGGGGAAGTGGGTATCTGGAAGCGGCATTTTCTGCCCTGAGACTCCCCAGACTCCCCAGGTGAGCGAGCACCTCCTCTAGCTGCTGCTGCCCAGGCACCTGAGCCTGAAAGGTGGCTGAGAGGGATTCCAGCCGCCTACGGCGCAGGGGCACGTGCACCAACTTCCCTAGCTCCTCTCTTCCCAGGACGCCTGTGTTTCACGTGACCATTGTGATGGGTAGGACCTGTTGTTCACCAGAACCTTCTCCAGCTCCCCAGCCCACTACCATCAATCAACTCCTCCTAACCCAGAGTGGCCCACAGGGCAGGAGAGAAAGTCAGTCACCGAAAACCTGCGGGGCAGGTTCCAGCCTGCCGCTTGTCATGCCAGCGCTTGACCCACTGCCCCCACGGGCTCCAGGGCCAGAGATTTGTTGTCTGGCTGCCTTTAGTGGGGCTGGTGGCCTGTCTGGCCAGGGGTTGCCCTCCAGGATCTGAGCACCCACGTGCTTAACAGCTGGCATCCAGTGGACTAGGAAAGGAGCAATGGCCCAGGCGCCCCTTTTCTCAGTCTAGGAAGTCACCATTGGTGCCCTTTCTGTTCACACACCTATGTGCCCCCCTACCCCCAGGACCAAGCCCACTGCCAACCAGGTCGTACTGATCCTTAGCGACTCTGTAGGACCGAGCAGAACAGCCCAAGGTTTCTGCACCACTGACCCATGGCTAGTAGCTCAATGCTTGACCCACTGCTACACCAGACTTCCTGTGGGCCCATAGCACCAGCTGTCCTCTACTTCTCCAGTTAGTTCAGTGGTTGCGTGGCATGGAGACATGGGTGGTGGATGAGATTTATGCCGTGTTGTAAATTCAGTCTTTCCAGCACAAGTTAGGCAAGTAGGTGAGCAGGGAGGGAGAGACACTTCCAGAAGACATCGATTCTGATGAAGAGTGATGGGGCGACTTAAACAGAATTGGAAAGTTTGACTGTTCAAGCCAACTCAAAGTTCATGATAAATGCGTGGATCAAGATTATGAAGAAAGGAAGGATGGATGGAAGTGAGTCTCAGTAGGAGAAATAAAGAGGGTACTGGGGTGAGAGGTGGCAAGGCTTAATAACATAAACCCGTTTGTGTTCGGCTGGATTGACTAGCGAAACACATCCAGAGACACTCATGTGTAAGAGGAAAACACCCCAGATCAGTCCACGTCAAATCTATAAGTCCGATTCTAGACCACAATTCCCTCTTCAGACCCACGCAGCCTCTCGCACTGATGCAGAATGCAGGAAGATCACAGTCTGGTGGGTGCCAAGTCTTGTGGATCCAGTGGCAGTGGAAGCATCGCAGGACCCTTGTGGGTCTCAGTGAGGCTCACCAGCAGGAAGGTGGAGGGAGAGCGAGAGAGCGATCCACCTCCTGGGAGCCGTTCATCTCAGTGGCACCTCTAAATGAGGCCATCAGGCTAAACTCCACCCACACCCTACAGGTGCCACGCTGGCACAAGCAACCTCGTTCTCACACCATTCTTTCCCACTTTCTTGACTAGAAGTTAATCTTGAAAGCAGCACACCTTTAAGAACTCCTCAAGGGTCTCCTTGAATCTTTCATATACGAGGGACTGCCAGAAGCTTGTGGGACGTTTCATGGTCTTTCCAACCCCTTTCCCAGGTGCTGGGCTTTCTTGCTGTGGGGTTGGCCGAGGGGGTGCAAGGAGCTTGCAGAGCTAGCCAGAGCGAGTTGTGACAGAGTCTTAAGCCTGCACAACGGCCTGTCAGCCGTGAGCTGCTTAGTTTCGTTCCGATGATCAGAGGGTCGGTTTCTCCCGCAGGTAGCTGCACGGAAAGCCTAGTGAAGCCACACTTATTTCTTGAGCAGACTCTTCCGTCTGGGTGTTGGTGAGATTTGGGCCAGTGGAGACATACATCGTGCTTTTTGAAAAAAATGTTTGCTGCCAGTAACCAGAGGGTCATCTGTAGCCAGACTGATGACTCCCACGTTGCCTTATGTAATCCTGCATTGTGTGAGACCCATGTGCTCCACTTTCAGAGTTGAGGAATTCCCAGCAGTTTAGTGATTCGGTTTTCCCTCATTTTCTTTGTGATGTGTCCCCCTTTAGCCACGCATCCTTTCCATGAGTCTTGGTTAAATCTGCCAGGAACCACTTATTAATTAAACCCACCTTCCTGCCCTTTGTCTGGGGCCCGTAACTTTGTCGAGTCAGGGGCAGAAATGGTGGGCTTCCTGCTACACTGACAGTTGGTCTTTCCTCTGCTGACAGTGCGGATGGGGCAGAACTTTTCACAGGGCCGAGAGGACGTCTGTATCCCCAGGTGAATGGAATGTAAAGAATCCCTCTGAATTGGTAGCCATCTGCACCTTGTGGAAAAACAGTATAACTCCACCACACTTTTTATTGCTCACTTAAACTGACACACCTGATAGGGAGGGCCAGTGTTGCTCTTGAGACACGTGCCGTCAGGCCAGACTGTCCTACGCAGTGCCAACGTGGACGGACCTGGACTCAGCGGTCCCACTGAGCAGAGAACAGCACCCCCACGTGTACACTGATTGGTTATGGCAGGCACGGCACGTGGCCAAGGTGGCTTGAATTAGCATGTTTCTTTGCTCCTGTTCTGGTTGGGGTCCCAGGGTTCAGAGCCATGTGGTCACGTGGGCATTGGAAACCCCAGCTCATCAGTTTGACGTGGACGCAGAAGGGAGCAAGCCCCGGGCGGGGGGAGGAGGTTCGGGGAGAAGAAGGAATGAAGGGAGGGCCCTGGGGGTGGGAGGTGGCATGTATTTCTGAATGACGGCTCCCATGGTAACTGGTGTCATGACTGTATGGTGGTGGTGAGCCCTAGTATGAAAACAGAAGAGGAAGAAAGTAAGGGAAAAACACTCCCCGCCAAAATTATTTGAAAAATGCACTTTCTTTTGGAAAGAACCACTTTATTTTCCTCCTTTCTTTTTCCTTTTTCCCTCCCCCCTTTTTTCTTTTCTTTTTTTTTCTTTATTTCTTTTATTTTTTTATTTTGAAGATATTTGGGCTATAGGGTGTATATTTGCAGAACTGCTAACGTCAGAGCCAATATTTCACTGTCGGCAAGAGGACATCAAAACTAGTAACCCCTATCACCATGACCAGCTGGACAGGATATTCAATGTAATGGGATTCCCTGCAGGTACTCACTCCCTTTGCTCGTTTCTGTTTTGTTTCTAAGTCGCTGTTGTTGGAACTTGGCGGCCAGCTCTTCCTGCTGACGGCTGGGCAGAGGGTCACGGGAAGCACCCAGTCTGTGGGGTTCGTGCGTTAGCAGCAAGACACCCGGGGGTCCCGATTTTTTTTTTTGCCTTATTTTGTGGTTTTTTTTTCTTTTTCCCTTTGGTTGCTTACCGTCTGAAATGATAAAATATTTGCCGTGTATATGTTTAGAAATTGCTTTTCCTCTTCTTGTTTCTCTATTTTTCATCAATATTATTTGTGGGGCTCTGCCTGCAGAAAGACTAGCTCAGGCTCAGGAGTAGGCACCTCCGCGAGCCACAGCCCCCGCTTTCTGCTCAGGCCAGAGGGCATCACATCTTGACCAGCCCTGCCCCTGAGGACAGTAGCTGTTCAGTGCAGCAGGCCGATGGAGCTGCAGTGGCTGCCCCTTCATCAGGGCCCCGCACGATATCCCAGACCTAGCTGCCCTCACACAGTCAAACCGGGCCGGGGGCAGGATGATGAGGGCTTCGCCCATCTCAGCCGTGCTGGCCAATCAGGTGCCTGCTGCTGTGAACAGCCTCTCCGCTGGGTGTTCTTTCAGGGGAAATCCCCACAGAGTCTCATTCCACACCCCTGTCAGGGTGAGGAGGGCGAGCCAACACAGGCTTGTGCTCTCTAGGGATGGGGATCAATCACGCAGCCCCTGAAGATGCTTCGAGCCCCAGGCTAGGTGGACGGGACTGACGGAGCTGACCCTGCCCTGTCTGAGGAGTCTGTTCCCCTGCTGAGTGCCTGTGCTTCTAAAGCCCTAAGACAGGAGCGAGGCCAGGTGGGAGGGAGCGGGGGTGGGAGTGCACGGTAGGAGACCATGCTTCAGTCGGGTGTCAGTGGTTGGGTGGCCCCGTGTGTGAGGACTCTTGACCACCAAGCACAGGCGTCAGAGCCGAGGCTAATGACTGGGGATCACCAAAGGAAGGGGCCAGGGACTACAGGCACCTGCGGGTCCAGCAGTCACCGGGCATGCAGTGGTTGCCAAGGCCGAGGTCAGCGTTTCCCGAGGAAGCCTGTCCTGGACGAGGACAGGGTCAGCTCTTGGAGCTGGCGAGGGAGCCCGGAAAGCCTCGGGGAGGGTTGTGTGTGAGCACCTAGTGAGTGTGTTGACCAGGGAGTTCCGTGGGAAGCATACTTCTGCAAGCTGCTTACCAGCTCCGAGGGGCCGCCTGCCAGAGCACCACAGGCCGAGTGGCTCCCATGAGAAAGCCCAGCCTCTAGGGCAGCGGTTCTCTACCTTCCTCGTGCCACGACCCTTTCAGACAGTTCCTCATGTGGCGGTGACCCCCCAAACCGAAACATTACTTTCATTGCTACTTCACAACTGTCATTTTGCTAATGTTATGAATCGGGCGACCCCTGTGAAAGGGTCGTTCGACCCCCCAAAGGGGTGGTGACCCCCAGGTTGAGCACCGCTGCTCTAGGAGGTGCTGATGAGCCGTCCGCAGGCCAGTCAAACTCTCCTCGGGGCAGCGACGACCCCGACAGAGAAAAGGCCTTGCTGATAAGGGCCCTCAGGCCACTCAGCTTCCTTGCGGCCTCCGTACTCCCCTCCCCGGGAGCTGGGGCGGTCTTGACCGTGTTCTTAAAGCAAACCAAGGCGGCCCCTGACATGGGACTGTCCTGGTTATGGATGACCCACACTGCTCTGCTTCAGACCATGTGACCACTTACTCTGACTACTATGTCACCAGCTGTGCGAAGAAGGGACAGGAGCAGATGGCTTGCTGAGCATCCAAGACATTCTATGGGAAAGGCTGGCTTTGGAAATACTTCCAGCATTTATTTGTAACCTTTCCCCTCTAGCTCCAGAAAGCGAGGCATCTTAGAAATAGAAGGTGTCCACAGTAGACCGCTGACTGTAAAAAGGCCGAGAGCAACACTGCAAAGCCCTCCAGGGTTTCTGGTGGGTGTGGGGTGCAGGGTTGGAGATGTAGGGCAGCTGAGCATTTATTAAGGGCGGGGGTCCACAGGGATTTTTAAGACTAGAACGTGCAATGGAGAGGGAGGTGACCACTGTGAGCAGAATGAGAGCAAGAACCCAGACAACATCAACACTTATCGCTGTATTTCACAGATAAAGATTGGGAAGATATAAAAAAGATGCCCGAACATTCAACATTAATGAAAGATTTCAGAAGAAATACGTAAGTTTGGAAGAAAGTGGATCGTTATCATGTCCGTTTGGCTTTCCTGAGGTCCGAGCAGAATGCTGCAGACCAGCCTTCTCCAGCCAGTCAGCTGGCCTGTCTGCTTAGCATCGCCTGTGGCCAGCCCCGTGCCCTCGCACTGCCTGCTAGAAGGCCAGCCGGCCTCCGTGTCCCGTAAGCAGTGAGAGAGAGGACAAGGTGCTCATTGTGGTCACCTCCGTGGTGCAGTAATCGTTAGCAAGTTAGTTGGGCAGAACAGAGGTTTGGCTTCTTTACGAAGGGCGCATGGGCCCGGGGAAGGGGCAACGGGAGCAAATGGCCTTAGAACTCTGACTGCTGGTAAGGCCGGGGTAAGCTTTGGCCCTTCTCTGTGAAGCAAGGCCATTGTTGTAAACTGACTCCATGCTGATACACCATGGAAACAACCTTACTGTGCAGTAGATGCTTTTCCTGAAAGTCTCCTGCGTGTAATCAGTTTCCGCCTTCAAGCTGAGGGCTTAGGGGTCACTTGGTGAAAGACGAAAGAATGTTGCTGGCCGTTCTCAGTGCACATTTATGTCAATTGTGACCACAACAATTCTGCTTGGGAGGGCTTCAGCCAGTGTAACGTTAACCTGGAACCTAATGGCGACGTCTCATGGGGTTTCTCTTTCAGGTACACCAACTGCAGCCTTATCAAGTACATGGAGAAACACAAAGTGAAGCCAGACAGCAAAGCATTCCACTTGGTGAGCGTTCCACCACAGCACTCCAGAGAGTGCCTCTGCGCCCGAGTCCACCAGCACCGGGACTCTGGGGGCCAGAGTAGCGGCTGCTCCGTGCCCTCAGAGCCACGTCCTGGGCAGCGTGGCGACCCGGGTGGGGCTACTCACCAGCTCTAGCTGCCTTCCTCCGTCACGTGTGGAGAGCGCTTCGTAAATGACCCGGTTCCCGTCAGTTATTTGCAAAACAACACACAGACTTGGGCTTGCCGCCGTCGGTCCATGCAGATACTCACAGCCACCCTGCAGGACTGGGAACAACTGCCCGCTCCTGTGGGTTTCCCACACTAACTCTTCATGCGAGTAGAAGGCCCAGCTTTTGCCCTTTAAGCAGGGTCTGGGACTGATTTGAACTGGGTCTGCCATGGCCAATGACGGAAAAAGAGTTGACCCAAGTGTTTACCCTTTTGGGCCTTTGGTCTTGGTCCTCGGAGCGGGGAAAGTTAAAGTGGGGGGGGGCCTTGGCCAGAGAGGTGGGTCTGGACTGTTGCTGGCACCAAGGACGGCCACTCACCCTCAGAGGTAGCCTATGCTGTCTCTGCTCAGAACCTTCGGTCTGTTTCTGTAAACCTGCCCTCAGTGAAACCACCAAGCACACGCAACAGTCCGTTCACCTGCCGTACCTGCGGCTTTTCCTCCCAGGGAGGGAAGCTCAACGGAGCCGCCGCCCATGTCCCCGCTGTCGTCCAGGTGCTGTGAGACGCAGGAGCGGGTTCTCTTCCTAACCTGGGGACAGACCACACATCAGAAGAAAATACTTCAGTGGACCCTGTCTTAATCAAAAGCCACTGCGTTTTCTCATGGGCACGACAACTTTAACCAGAGCAGTACTTCCCACACACATGTTGCGACCCCAAAATACAGCCCACGTGGCCATGAGGTTTAACCCAAATAGCCACACAGCTTGGGAGCCAGCCCACGGCTGTTACCACGCCGCAGTCGAGTGTGCACAGGGAATACATGCCAGGCTTCCCCCGTCCCAGCTGGGTGAGGCAGTGTGGGCGGGGCTCAGGAAGGAGCACTGATTCCCAGTGAGACAGCCGCGGGCCGGGAGAAGGCGAGCAGTAAAACGGCCCAAGTGGGGGTGACCGTGTTGCACAGACCTGGATCCTTGTTTGGGGGAAAGA